TGCCCAGCCTCCTGCCTGGGAACTGACCAAGGTTCCTCAAACATGCAGATCTTGGCCTTCTCCCCTCCTCCATCCCTCTTCCAGAAATCTCTAAGTTTCTGGAAGGGTGGGAGGGCTCCAGAACCCCTGACTTGTAGAGCCTTCTAGCCTGTACTGATGTGAACTCACTACCTCACTCCCAGGCTGACTCATCCCAGGATGCAATCCAGCCTCTATCTAATTAAAAAAAAAACCAACAAAGCCTGTCTAGCTAAACCTAGAGGGTGCTACAGAATGTTTTGTATTTTTTTTTTCCAGTAAATACAAGGCATTCTCTGATGAGGCAAAGATTGTGATGTTACCGCCCCTCCTCTCCACCGCATCCATTCAGTGAATCTCTTGTATTCATTGAAAAAAATATAAAGCATTCTATGAATGGCAGCATTGCCAATCAAATGACCCCCTGGGGTCAGTGTGCAGAGGGGAAGTCACTTGCACAGAACCTAAGCAGGATCCAGAAGACCACAGTGATCACCGTAGTAGCACCAACTACTACAGTGACTTCCAGCCTTCTCAGTGGCCCCTCAGGTTTGAGATTTGCATACTTTGTGCCAAGTTGGACCCATGTTAAGTATGCAATAAAGATCAAACCTGGTGTTCAGTCTTTGTGTTGAGCTAGACATAGCGCACCTCCGCACCTACCCCCCACCCCCCACCCACCCTCTATAACATGCCACAGCTTTATTTCTTCTTATTACCTTGGCTTGGAAAATTCTTGAAGGGGCAACTGCTGGGAGATGAGTTCCTAATGATGTAGGCTCACCCCCACAACTACATCTCCCTACATTCGGTGTATGGGTAGGATAACAGATCACTCTTCATAACACCTTCTGTCTGTTGGATAAAAACACAAACCTCATTCCGGAAGGAAAATGTTTTGGGGAAGAATGGGAAGTCAGCCAGTTGCAGTCTTTGCCTCTGTTGGGGACCATGTCCCAAGGGAGGATATAGACAGCAATGCAAACCTAAAAAGCTGAAAGCTAAACTCTGGGCACACTGTAATATATAAAAGACACAAAAGACTACAGCTCTGCACTCATTCACATATCATTAGGTACATTTTTGTGAAATGCCAATAGTGTAAATACCTGAGCTCAACTAGACATCAAACACCTCATGCAAACAGAGCTCAGACTGGAAGGGCATCACCGGGATCGGGTGTGCTCCTGGCAAATGTGCCGACTAGGAACATGCTGATAGGAAGAGAGAGCAAAACAAGCAGAGAGATCACCTTATCAATCTTCTGCTGCTCTTTCACTGTCCAGTCAGCAGGCTGGAGACAGAGACAATGCCACAATATTAGTTAATTGTACCGGAGTATGTGGGGTCTGTCTGCCTGCCTGTGCTGGGCATCGGAGCCTTTAACTCCTCTCCAGTCTGTCCAAAACTAACAAAAAAAATGTGATGAGTGGGATGTAATTTGGGGGTCATTTTAACCCAGCGTCATCTCCCTCGACTCCCTAGATTGCTAATTGTGTTTATTGCTGGATTCGTTTAACAGAAAACGATTTTGCTCTGCAAAATCCTCCCATTTCCTTGAAGGAAAGAAAGATCTGACTCCTCGGTGTCCACACCCAGTGCTCAGACGTTCCTCCTTATACATCTGTGCTGACTTACATATCTGTCCGTGGTCACTAAATGGCTTCATAACGCTCAGTGCTCTGGAGGTTTCAGTTCTTTCAAACATTTCAGTGATGACTCAGAGGTAGTGAGGTAAGTACTTGGAAACGTTTGAGGAAACACACTGAAATAACATGGGTATCCAGGGACGCTAACAAGGTTGAAGAGCTTATTTCAGGAAAACAAAACCAAAGCACAAAGTGCTCCAGCACTTTAAAAAGAATAATTAAAATGAAATGATTGCACTCACGGATAAACGTTTTGTAATTCTTGAATCCAGTGGATATCTCCACCGTGCTGCTTATAGCTATAGGCATGGAAGAAGTGGAATAGGATGGTATCAATGGTTTGTGATACACCTGACCCCTGCACTCTGTATATCACATACTCCTCACCCTTGCACACTGATCATTACATACTTCAGACCCCTGCACTCTGTACATTACATATTCCTGACCCCTGCACTCTGTACATAACATACTCCTGACCCTGCACTCTGTACATCACATACTCCTAACCCTTGCATGCTGTACATTACATACTCCTGACCCCTGCACTCTGTACATTACATACTCCTGGCCCTGCACTCTGTACATTATACATACTCCTGCCCTGCACTCTGTACATATACATACACCTGACCCCTGCACTCTGTAAATTATAGACACCTGACCTCCTGCACTTTGTACAGTACATACTCCAGACCCTTGCACTCTGTACATTACATACTCCTGACCCCTGCACTCTGTACATTACATACTCCTGGCCCCTGCACTCTGTACATTACATACTCCTGACCCCTGCACTCTGTACATTACATACTCCTGACCCCTGCACTCTGTACATTACATACTCCTGACCCCTGCACTCTGTACATTACATACTCCTAACCCTTGCACGCTGTACATTACATACTCCTGACCCCTGCACTCTGTACATTACATACTCCTGACCCCTGCACTCTGTACATTACATACTCCTCGACACCTGCACTCTGTACATACTCCTGATGCCTGCATTCTGTACATTACATACTCCTCGCACCTGCACTCTGTACATTACATACTCCTGGCACCTGCACTCTGTACATTATATACTCCTGGCACCTGCACTCTGTATATTATAGACACCTGACTCCCTGCACTCTGTAAATTATAGACACCTGACCTCCTGCACTTTGTACAGTACATACTCCAGACCCTTGCACTCTGTACATTACATACTCTTGGCACCTGCACTCTGTACATTACATACACCTGACCCTCTGCACTTGTACATACAGACACCCGACCCCCTGCACTCTGTATGTTACATACTCCTGACCCCAGCCCTATGTACATTACACATGCCTGACTCCTGCATGCCATACATTGCATACTCCTCACCCCAGCCCTATGTACATTATATATGCCTGACTCCTGCATGCCATACATTGCATACTCCTCACCCCAGCCCTATGTACATTATATATGCCTGACTCCTGCATGCTGTACATTACATACTCCTCACCCCTGCACTCTGTGGATGTCCTACATGTGTGGATGTTGCTGCGTTATATAAAACTATTAGAAAAGCTTTTCACATTTTAGAGTGGGGTGCCTCAAGACTGTCCATAATTTTAAAGGGTGCCCTGGGACTGTCCATAATTTAAAGGGTGACTAGGGATTGTCCGTAATTTTAAAGGGTGCCTTGAATGAAAAATGTTGAGAAACATTGGTCTAAGTACAAGATGGATTCTTGTATATGTCAACCGTCCAAGACTTGGATGGGTTATTCCAGATGTTGATTGTTCATCTTGTTTTTGGACAATCAACATCTGCACATTCCATGGTGATTAGATTGAGGAGATGGTGCTACCTGTGTAAATATAAATGCTGGGGTATCTTCTTGACGCTCATCGGAACTGAAGAAGTGGTTTGGAGAAACCTCTTCAATATCAACCAACATTGTCCCAGAACAATATGGATTCTTGTAGTTGTCAATCATCCAAGACTAGGATGGGTTCCTGCAGATGTTGATTGTCCATCTTCTTCTTGGACACTCAACATCTACACATTCCATGGTGGCTGGATTGAGGTGTTGGTGCTACCTGTATGGCTATAAATGCTGTGGTATCTTCCTGACACTCATTAGAAGTGAGGAGGTGGCTTGGATAAGCTACAAAATGTCTTCATTGTCAATCAACATTGTCTAAGCACAAGATGAATTCTTGCAGATGTCAATCATCCAAGACTAGGATGGGTTCTTGCAGATGTTGATTGTTCATCCTATATTTGGACAGTCAACATCTACACATTCCATGGTGATTGAATTGAGGTGTTGGTGCTACCTGTGGGGATTCAAATCCTGAGGTATCTTCCTGAATCTTAGTAGAACTGAGGAGGCGGCTTGGATAAGCTATGAAATGTCTTCATCATCAACCAACATTGTCCAAGAACAGGATGGGTTCTTGTAGATGTTGATTGTATATCTTGTATTCTTGGAAAATCAACAGCTACACCTTCCATGGTGATTTGCTTAAGGTGTTGGTTTATACCAGTGTAGACATAAATGTTGGGGTATCTTCCTGAAACTTTCAGGAATGGATAAAGTGGCTTGGATAAGCGACAAAATGTCATCAACATGCATCTGCATTGTCCAAGAACATAAATAGATACTTGTAGATGTTGAATGTCCAAGCCCAGGATGGCTTCTTGTAGATGTTGAATGTCCAAGCCCAGGATGGCTTCTTGTAGATGTTGAATGTCCAAGCCCAGGATGGCTTCTTGTAGATGTTGAATGTCCAAGCCCAGGATGGCTTCTTGTAGATGTTGAATGTCCAAGCCCAGGATGGCTTCTTGTAGATGTTGAATGTCCAAGCCCAGGATGGCTTCTTGTAGATGTTAAATGTCCAAGCCCAGGATGGCTTCTTGTAGATGTTGAATGTCCAAGCCCAGGATGGCTTCTTGTAGATGTTAAATGTCCAAGCCCAGGATGGCTTCTTGTAGATGTTAAATGTCCAAGCCCAGGATGCTTCTTGTAGATGTCAAATGCCCAATCCCAGGATGGCTTCTTGTAGATGTTGGATGTCCAAGCCCAGGATTTCTTCTTGTAGATGTTGAATGTCCAAGCCCAGAATGGCTTCTTGGAGATGTTGATTATCCTTCCTGTTCTTGGAGAATACAAATCTAGACATTCCACGCTAATTGGGTTAAGGCATTGGTGCTGGCTGTGTGGATATAAATGGTGGAGTATTTTCCTGACACTCAATGGAACTGAAGAAGTGACTTGGAGAAGGTACAAAACACCAACAATATACAACAAGTCCAGTTAAACTAGACTAACCACTACTGGCTATACCATGGCAGTTGAATGAAAACTTTCACAGATATTTTAGAGACCTTATTTTATTTTTGTCTGAGCTGTCTTCATTTTTGCTCTTTCCTAGACAGAGTAAAGGTCAAGCTCATCTGTGGAGATATCTCTTCATACGATGACGTCCGAGAGGTCCTGAGTGGAAGCCATCTGGTCATACACACAGCTAGCCTGGTGGATGTCTGGGGACGGGTACCACCAAGTAAAATCACTGAAGTCAATGTGACAGGTAAGAGGACCCACGGTTTAGGAATGCAATTTTAATTAGTGGAGCACAGCCTGATTGATAAATGACTCTATTCTCCATCCTGGTTGCCCCATCTGATACATCCCGAAGTACGCCATTATAGTTTGCTGTGTAGAAAATGCAGTCAAATGCTCCCCATCATTGGCACCAACCCCCTTATCCTAAGCTCCTCCCTACCACCAGGGACTCTTACTGGTGTGTAAGTAGAGTCTACACAGTGTTGGACCAGGGGGCAAGAGGATACTTGGCCCACCTTCCTTTACAACCCATTGCTTCTGTTCCATTGGTAAAAAAACGCGTTATCCTAGTCCACACCACCCCGCTCCTCTGCTGAGTAATGTGAACTCATATCCTACAGTCTCTAATGACATGAAACACCAGCAAAGCACCCCATAACCAGAGATCATGTGATCAGTGGTGTATTTAGGTTTTGTGCTGCACAAAACTCGTCTGCCTCTACGGACACCAACCAACACCACCCCCCTTCCCCCTCCTGTGGAGAGAGCCTGACACCAACAACACCCCTGCCCCCCACCTGGGAGATCCTTCCACTAAACCCCCTGGCAATAGAGAGAAAAAGACACTCGTCTTCACAGCTCCGGACATCCCCGGGAACGACAGTCAGGCTCTACATACACCATCAAGCAGCCCGCAGCCTCTCTTGGATCCCACCTGGTTCCTATGGCATGCATGTCCCTTCTTTCATCCCTTCTTCTGGGGGGGGGGGTGCTGCCCCCCTGAAAAATGCCACCCTAGGCAAGTGCCATGTGGTAAATACGCCCCTGCATGTGATCTAGGCTTCATAGGCACTAGGTTACTTGACTCTTCCTAGTAACTGCCATTTTCTATCAATGGAAAGTAAAAGGTATTTTTTTTTTTCCTAAATATATAACTTTATTTGTTCCTGTCCACGTGAACGCTATTAGGTTAATGTAAAGCGTGATTTTTTTTTTTTTATTTGAATTTTTATTTTGGATCTGCTTTAGTTTGATTGGCTCCATAAATTTCACATTCTTTCCTTTCCTTCTAGTGGCCGCCAGCATAGGAGCTCACAAACTTTTCCAGAATGCCCCCCCCCCCCCCCCTCCCAGGAATGGAAAACATTTGAAGTTCAACTATTTAACAAGGGGATTTCCACAGTGCCATGTGGCCAGGAAAACATAAGCCTTATCCCTGTCATCTGTGGCTCTACGGCAGGATTAAAAATAGACCGAAAATATGTGTCTGGCCCACAAATGGGACGCAACTCAAAGATCTAAAGCCGGGTACGCATGCGCGGTGTTCATCATTCAACCAGGTGGTTGGGAGAAACAAGGCTGACAATCGATCCCTGAATCCACATAAATGATGTAGGTGCAGGGATCTCTCCTGCTGTGCTGTATTCTGACAGCAGGGACCCCCCCCCCCCCCACCCCCCCACCAGAATACACAGATTAGCACAGCACCCATTGGCTACATGCTCCGACTGAATGCTGTTTTTCCAGCGAGAACGTGCGCCCCAAACCGGTCATTAGACCGGGCTTCTGTTGAAGAGAAAGGAGCACATGAGTACTGAAAGTCAGCCGGTTCAGCAGGAACCATCCGACTTTCAACACGCGGGACACCTGCTTAATGATTAGTGGTGGGAGTATATTATGTGCAGCACAGCGGAGAGGTATAGTATATACAGAACATTGACATTGTACAGGGTTGAGAGGTATACTATGTACATCACAGTGTCCAGATTGGGGAGGTATAGTATGTACAGCACAGTGTATAGAATGGAGAGAATTACCGTGTACAGCACAGTGTACAGAGTGGAGAGGTATAATATGTACAGCACAATGTACAGGGTGAAGAGGTATAATGTGTACAGCACAGTGTATAAAGTGGAGAGGTATAATATGTACAGCACAGTGTATAAAGTGGAGAGGTATAATATGTACAGCACAGTGTATACAGTGGAGAGGTATAATGTGTACAGCACAGTGTATAGAATGTAGAGGTATAATGTGTACAGCACAGTGTATAGAATGTAGAGGTATAATGTGTACAGCACAGTGTATAAAGTGGAGAGGTATAATGTGTACAGCACAGTGTACAGAGTGGAGAGGTATAATATGTACAGCACAATGTACAGGGTGAAGAGGTATAATGTGTACAGCACAGTGTATAAAGTGGAGAGGTATAATGTGTACAGCACAGTGTATAGAGTGGAGAGGTATAATGTGTACAGCACAGTGTATAGAATGTAGAGGTATAATGTGTACAGCACAGTGTATAAAGTGGAGAGGTATAATGTGTACAGCACAGTGTATAGAGTGGAGAGGTATAATGTGTACAGCACAGTGTAAGGATCGGAGAAGTATAATATGTTCAGCACAGTGTATATTGTGAAGAAGTATAATATGTACAACACAGTGTACAGAGGGGAGAGGTATAATGTGTACAGCACAATGTACAGGGTGAAGAGGTATAATATTTACAGCACATTGTATAGAGTGGAGAGGTATAATGTGTACAGCACAGTGTAAGGAGTGGAGAAGTATAATATGTATAGCACAGTGTACAGAGGGGAGAGGTATAATATGTACAGCACAGTGTACAGAGTGGAGAGGTATATTATGTACAGCACAGTGTACATAGTTGAAAGGTATAATATATAGCGGACATTGTACAGGGTGAAGCGGTATACTATGTACAGCACAGTGTACAGAGTGGAGAGGTAAAACATGTACAGCATAGTGTACAGAGTGGAGAAGTATAATATGTACAGCGCAGTGTATATTGTGATGAAGTATAACATGTACAGCACAGTGTACAGAGTGGAGAGGTATAATATGTACAGCACAGTGTAAAGAGTGGAGAGGTATAATATATACAGCACAGTGTACAGAGGGGAGAGGTATAATATGTACAGCATAGTGTACAGAGTGGAGAGGTATAATTTATACAGGCCATTGTACAGGATGAAGAGGTATAATATGTACAGCATAGTGTACAGAGTGGAGAGGTATAAAATGTACATACAGCACAGTGTACATAGTGGAGTGGTATAATATATAGCGGACATTGTACAGGGTGAAGAGGTATATTATGCACAGAACAGTGTACAGAGTGGAGAGGTACCGTATACTATGTGCAGCACAGTGTCCAGAATGTAGAGATATAGTATATACAGCACAATGTATAGAATGGAAATAATTACTATGTACAACACAGTGTACAGAGTGAAGAGGTATAATATTTACAACTCAATGTACAGAGTGGAGAGGTATATTTTGTAGAATTCAGGGTACATGGTGGAGAGGTATAATATGCACAGTGTAGTGTACAGAGTGGAGTGATGTGAAATACAGTGCAGTGCTTATGTACAGCACAGTGTTCAGTGTGGAGTGGTATATGAAGCACAGTGCTGAATGCTGTGTAGTTCTGTACAGTGCAGCATACAGAGTGCGGTGTGTAGAGTATGTACAATACAGGATATAATTTGTGACATTTCAGTGTATGCAATGTACTCTGCTCATAAGGAATCTGGTCCTCTGAAGTATGTGACTTACAGCACAGCGTATAGCATGTGGTGGCCCACAGTGTGAAATGCACATTGTAGCACACTTAGTGTGCAATTGTACAGTATGGCACAGCATATGGATATGGAATATCATGCTTCAGAGTATGACTGGCCATTCCTTCCTATTCGTTTATAATTCATAACCAATTCCTCTCTCCACACAAGGGAGGTGGACGGGGGTGCCCCCTGTGCTGGGACACTGTATTGACTGGATGCCTGCATCCACTGCGATGATCGTTGGAAAACCTTCCAATGAGTCCCTTCCAAGAAGTCCAATAAATAATCGACCAGCTTCTGCAATGAAGAGTGCGTGGTATAGATTGTGCAGACCCACTCTGTGACACGTACAGCACAGTATATAGAGTATGGCTGTGCAGAGGATGTAATGTACAGCGTAGCATACAGAATGTGGTGCTTTACAGAATGCAGTGTACAGTGAAGTGTATGTAGCATGGTAGTCCAGCATATACAGTGTGGGGTCCATAGCATGTTATGTACAGCACAATGTATAGAGTGACTGATCGTGATAATTAACGGGCAGCGGAGTGTATGGGTAGGTCAGTCCATCGTATTCAATGTACAGTGCAGTTCCTACATATAGCTCAATGCGGGGAAAGGGAATTTTCCATTCTGTGTAGTCAGGTGGAGTTTTCCTGTTTAGTGTGATATAATTGTCAACTGATAAACTCTTCCCACATCCACCAGGAAACCGAATATAAATACTTGGTATATAAATAGTCCTGTGTGGTAAGTTAGAACGAGCCTTGCAGATGGACATTACTATCTATGTCATATATATATATATATATATATATATATACACTATATTGCCAGACGTGTTGGCCCCGCCCTCTCAATCATGTGATTCAGGTGCTCCAATCCCCTCCATGGACACAGGTGTATACAATCAAGCCCCTAGGCATGCAGACGGCTTCTACAAACATTGGTGAAAGAATGGGTCGCTCTCAGGAGCTCAGTGACTCCAAGCGTGGTCCCGTGATAGGTGGTCACCTGGGCAATAAGTCCATCCGTGACATTTCCCGGCTACTAAATATTCTACGCTCAACTGTTAGTGGGATTATAACAAAGTGGAAGCGACTGGGAACAACGGCCACTCAGCCACCAAGTGGTAGGCCACATCACATGACAGGGCGGGGTCAACGCATGCTGAAGTGCACAGTGCGCAGAAGTCGCCAACTGTCTGCAGAGTCAATAGCTAAAGACCTCCAAACTTGGTGTGGCCTTCAGATGAGCCCAACAACAGTGTGTAGAGAGCTCCATGGAATGGGTTTCCATGGCCGAGCAGCTGCATCCAAGCCTTCCATCACCAAGTGCAATGCAAAGTGTTGGATGCCGTGGTGTAAAGCACGCCGCCACTGGACTCGAAAGCAGGGGAGATGTGTTCTCTGGAGGGACCAATCACACTTCTCTGTTTGTTGATCCGATGGACATGTCTGGGTTTGGTGGTGGCCAGGAGAACGATACTTGCCTGACTGCATTGTGCCAAGTGTAAAGTTTGGTGGAGGGGGGATTATGGTGTGGGGTTGTTTTTCAGGGGTTGGGCTTAGCCCCTTAGTTCCAGTGAAGGGAACTTTTAAGGTGACATTTTGGACAATTTCATGCTCCCAACTTTGTGGGAAGAGTTTGGGGATGGCCCCTTCCTGTTCCAACATGACTGCCCACCAGTGCACAAAGCAGGGTCCATAAAGACATGGAGACATGGAGGAGCCAGTTTGGGGTGGAGGAACTTGACTGTCCTGCACAGAGTCCTGACCTCAACCCCATAGAACACCTTTGGGATGAATTAGAGTGGAGACTGCGAGCCAGGCCTCCTCCCCCGACATCAGTGCCTGACCTGACAAATGTGCTTCTGGAAGAATGGTCCAAACCTTCCCATAGACACCCTCCTAAACCTTGTGGACGGCCTTCCCAGAAGAGTTGAAGCTGTTATAGCTGCAAAGGGCGGGGCCAACTCAATATTGAACCCTACGGACTAAGACTGGGGGTCCATTAAAGGTCATGTGTATGGAAAGGGCGGGGCCAACTCAACATTGAACCCTACAGACTAAGACTGGGGGGCCTTTAAAGGTCATGTGTGGAAAGGCCGATGGCCCAATACTTTGCCAAATTTGTATCAATATACTACTTAATTGGCATAAGACACTTCATTTAAATATGATTCAGTGGAGAAGGCTGAAGGAACCCTGGCAGAGGAAGGCTTGTATAGAGTGTGGGGTCCATAGCATGCCATGTACAGCACAGTGTATGGAGTGACTGATCATGGAATTTAATGGACTGTAGAGTGTATGGAGTAGGTCAGCCCATAGTAATCTGTCTACAGCTCAATATCCATCAATGCGGGGAAATAAGAATTCTCCATGCCCATGGACATTCTATATAGTCAGAGGGCGTTTATTCTGTTTAGTATGACTTAAAGTGTATCTAAACCCAAAAAACAAAAATTGAGCGTATTGCAGCATACAGGTCCATAGATGTGGTGGCTGCATTCCTTTTTTCTTTCTTTTTTTTTTCCCTCTTACTTTCACTTGATAATCCCACCATTAACCTACTTCCTGTCTTAGAGTGACAACTGTACTGAGTAGCATTGTCACCGGAGGGCCGAAAGTTTGTTATGGCTACAAAAAGAAATGTAATCTCCAAACACGGAAAGGTTTCTTCACAGTAAGAGCTGTGAGAATGTGGAATAGACTCCCTCAGTTGGTTGTTGCCAGCTCAGTGGATTGCTGTAGGAAAGTCCTGGATTGTTTCTTGGATACACAGAATATAACTGGATATAACATTTATAGGGAAAGTTGATCCAGGGAATATCCGATTGCCTCTTCGGGGGATCAGGAAGGAATTGTTTCCCTGCAGGAGCAAATTGGATCGTGCTTTGCTGGGTTTTTTGCCTTCCTCTGGATCAGCTGTGGGTGTAGGATTATAACTTTTTTTTTATGGTTGAACTGGATGGACTTTTGTCTTTTTTCAGCCAGACTAACTATATCACCTCCCTCTCTTCTTTATAACAGGGGGAGGTGTTTTGTAGTTTACAGGGATAGCAGGGAACAATGCTACCCGATAACAGTCCAGAGGCAGAGAGCACAGGAAATTATCAGCTCACACTTTCCGATTGGATAAACAGCTGTTTTTTTTTTTTTTTTGTGGTTTATTTTTTGCATTCGTCAAAAAGATATAATAAAACATTTTATATTTTTAACATAATGAGAGGAAGCAAATAAGAGAAATGTATTGTTACGGTTTACATACACTGTCATGTAAAGCCAATAAACTCCTCCCACATCTAGGGAGGAAACGTATTAAATGGAAATACTTTGTTACATTAAAAGTTTCATAAAGTAAGTTTTATAATGAGCTCCACAGGTGCAGATTACGATCTACGTGACTCTTCCCTTTCTGCTTCTCAGATGTTTAATATATAGATATTAACCCCTCGCCTACCAGGCACTTATACCCCCTTATTTACCAGGCCAATTTACAGCTTTCAGCGCTGCCGCACTTTGATTGACAATTGCGCGGTCGTGCAACATTGTACCCATATGAAATTTTGATCATTTTTTTCTCACAAATAGAGCTTTCTTTTGGTGGTATTTACTCCCCGCTGGGCGCTTTACTTTTTGCGCTATAAAAAAAAAAAAAAATGCAAAAAATTTGAAAAAAAAAAAAAAAACGTTTCTTTGTTTCTATTATAAAATTTTTCAAACAGGTATTTTTTCTCCTTCACTGATGTGCGTTGATGAGGCAGCACTGATGGGCACTGATAGGCGGCACTGATGGGCACTGATAGGCAGCACTAAAGGGCACTGATAGGCAGTACTAATGAGGTGGCACGGATAGGCGGCACTGATAGACAGCACTAATGAGGTGTCACGGATAGGCGGCACTAATATGCAGCACTGATAGGCGGCACTGATAGGTGACACTGATGATGGGTACTGATAGACGGCACTGACTGGCATCACTGCTGGGCACTGACTGGCGGCACTGACTGGCACAACCCCTGGGCACTGAGTGGTGGCACTGACTGGCAGCACTGCTGGGCTGCACTGGTGGGTGGCACTGGTGGGCAGCACTGGTGGGTGGGCACAGGTGGGTGGCACTGGTGGGCACAGGTGGGTGGGCACAGGTGGGTGCACTGCTGGGCACAGGTGGGTGGCACTGGTGGGCACAGGTGGGTGGGCACAGGTGGGTGCACTGCTGGGCACAGGTGGGTGGCACTGCTGGGCACTGGGGCACTGCTGGGCACATGTAGGTGGCACTGCAGAGTGGCACAGGTGGGTGCACTGCTGGGCACAGGTGGGTGATCTGCTGGGCACAGGTGGGCGGAGCTAGTGGGCGCACTGCTGGGCGGAACTTGCGGGTGGCACTGTTGGGCACCGATCATCAGGGCACTGATCATCAGTGGCCCTGATGATCGGTGCCGATCCCCGCTCTGACAACTGCCGGTTCTCGGCAGTACTTTCCTCACGATCTGACAGCGTGAGGAAAGTGCAGCCGAGAACCGGCACTTGCATTTCCCTGTGATCAGCATGTCATTGGACACCGCTGATCAAGTGGTAAAAGGCCGCTGTGATTGGCCTTTTACCACATCACGTGATCAGCTGTGTCCGTAGGACACAGCGATCACGGAGATCGCCGGGTGCGCGCCCCCTGGGGCGCGCAGGAGAGCGCGTTCTGGGAGGACGTCATATGACGTCCACTCAGAACTGGCCGGCCGCAGTTTAGCCGTCATTTGGCTATCTGCGGTCGGCAGGTAGTTAATGTATCAATCTTCTTCTTGTCTGACACAAGAGACTTCATATAAATGGGATTCATTAGAGATGGTTACATAGTTATAGTTAAACAAGCCTGAACAAAGAAACATAAACACAAAAAGCACGCGTCCAGAACCAGACATCCCACATCATACAGAGCCGTACTAACCAGTCCATCCAGTCCATGGACTACCAGCATACAGAATGTAAACATAAACAGACTAAGGAAAAATATGTACTGTATAGAAATAGATACAGAGCGGTAACATAAGTATCGAACACGTCACCATTTGTCTGTATAAATATATTTCTAAAGGTGCTATTGACATGAAATGTTCACCACATGTCGGTAACAACCCATGCAATCCATACATACAAAGAAACCAAAACAAATAAGTTCAGAAATTAAGTTATATGTAATAAAATGTAATGACAGAGGGAAAAAGTATTGAACACATTTTATTTATTTATTTATCGAGTTTATATAGCGCCAAAGGGTTTGCTCAGCGCTGTACAATAGAGGGGGTACAGTAAAACAGTACAGTAACATCAAACAGCACACGAGGGGTTAGAGGGCCCTACTCTTTCGAGCTTACAATCTAGGAGGAAGGGGGTAGAGGTACAGGAGGAAATGGCTGTGGGGGATGGAGTGGTAGGAGGAGGGAAGGGCAGCGGCTGTTAGGTGAGGGTGGGGTAGGCTTCCCTGAAGAGGTGGGTTTTCAGGGAGCGCCTGAAGGTGAGGAGGGAAGGTGACAGTCTGATGGATTGGGGTAGTGAGTTCCAGAGGATGGGGGGGGACCTGGAGAAGTCTTGCAGTCGTGCGTGGGAGGAGGAGACCAGGGAGCAAGATAGAAGGAGGTCCTGTGAAGAGCGAAGGGTACGGGTAGGGTGGTACCTGGGAATCAGGTCGGTGAGGTAGTTAGGGGCAGTGTTGTGAATGGCCTTATAGGTCAGGGTGAGCAGTTTGAATTTAATGCGTTGGGCAATGGGGAGCCAGTGGAGGGAGAGGCAGAGGGGGGTGGCAGAGGTGGAGCGGGTGGTGAGGTGGATGAGTCTGGCAGCTGAGTTCAGGATGGTCTGAAGCGGGGAGAGTTTGCAATGGGGTAGACCGGTGAGGAGGGAGTTGCAGTAGTCAAGGCGTGAGATAATCAGGGAGTGTACGAGTAGTTTAGAACACATGAAGAAAGGGAGGTGTAAAAAGGCATGGAAAGCCAAGACACCAGCTGCAATCTATCAGTAATTAGAAAGCAAACCTAACCCTTGTTAGTGCAAATGATATCAGCTGGGTCAGTCTCAACTGATGGCCTATAAAAAAAGTGTCTCATTTCCAAGGTATCACACAAGAAACATCTCATGATTGGTAAAAGCAAAGAGCTCTGTCGGGAATGGACTCACCGCTGGTGGTGCTGGGACTCATCTGCTGTGTGGGCTGCAGTACCGGTGCTTGCCAGCGGGTGCTTTCAGCAGCCAGGATCTCACTCCTGCAATCAAGCCATCACCTGAGGCTGATTGCAGGAGGTGTATTTTAGCAATGGCCAGGCCTGAAATCAACACCTTGGTGTTGTTTCCCATGAGCCCCTGTACCTGTCATTGCCTGCCTGGTTCCTCTGCTGACTCTGACACTGATCAAACTCCGCCTGCACCGACCCCGGCTATTCCTGACCTTTCTCCTGCCTGCTCCGTTTGTACCTTGTCTGCCCGATTGTTCCTGACCCGCCTGCCTGACCACTCTACCTCTCCAACCTGACTACGCCTGTCTGTGTTCCTGAACATACTGACATTAGTTGGAGGTTTGGTTTTGTTTGTACTGTGCGTTGTATACTCGTGTAGTTCCTAATAAATTATATTCTTATTACATCACTCCTGAAGCCTGCCATTCCCTGTGTCAGTCCACACATTTCTGGTCATACTTGGATCCCTGACAAGCTCTCTCAAGACATTTGCAACCTTATTGTTGCAAAATATACTGATGGCATTGGTTAAAGAAGGATTTCTAAACTTCTGAATGTTCCAGTGAGCACTGTTGGGGCCATAATCCGGAAGTGGAAAGAACATCATTTCACCGTAAACCGGCCATGACCAGGTGCTCCTCACAAGATTTCTGACAGAGGAGTGATAAGAATTATCAGAAGAGTTGTCCATGAGCCAAGGACAACTTGTGGAGAGCTTCAGAAAGACCCAGAATTAACAGGTACAATTGTTTCAAAGAAAACAAAAAGTAATGCACTCAGCCGTCATGGCCTGTATAATGCACTCAGCCGTCATGGCCTGTATGCACGTCACCACGCAAGACTCCATTGCTGAAGAAAAAGCATGCTGAAGCTCGTTTAAAGTTTGCTGCACAATATTTAGACAAGCCTGTGAAATACTGGGAGGATATAGTCTGGTCAGAGGAGACCAACATTGAACTCTTTGGATTCCATAATACACACCATGTTTGGAGGTCAAATGGCACTGCAAATCATCCTAAAAATACCAGACCAACAGTGAAGCATGGTGGTGGGAACATCACGGTGTGGGGCTGTTTTTCAGCATACGGTACTGGCAAACTTCATATCACTGAAGGAAGGATGAATGGATAATTGGACCAAGACATTCTTGATAAAAATCTGTTGCCATCTACCAGGATGATGAAGATGAAACGAGGGCCGACATTTCAGCAAGATGATGATCCCAAACACAAAGCCAAGGAAACTCTCAAGAGGGAAAATAAAGCTGCTAGAATGGCCCAGCCAATCACCTGACTGGAATCCAATAGAAAATCTATGGTAAGAACTAAAGATCAGAGTTCATAGAAGAGGCCCGCGGAACCTTCAAGATTTGAAGACTGTTTGTGTGGAAGAATGGGCCAAAATCACACCTGAGCAACGCATGCCACTAGTTTCTCCATACAGGAGGCGTCTTGAAGCTGTCATTACCAACAAAGGATTTTGTACCAAGTATTAAATAAATTTCAGTTAACGTGTTCAATACTTTTTCCCTGTGCCATTCCATTTTATTACACATTTCTCAATTTCTGAACTTTATTTGTTTTGGTTTCTCTATATGTATGGATTGCATGGGTTGTCACCGACATGTGGTGGGAATTTCACGCCAATAGCACCTTTTAGAAATATTTATTGAGAAAAATGGTGACGTGTTCAATACATATTTTACCGGCTGTATATGGTGCAACTCAACCTGCATGTGTCCATATTGGTAAAATGCACATACAAAAAATGGCTCCGTCTCAAACCTCTCCATAGATCCAAGGATGGGGCTTACTCAATATTGCCAAAAAACACGCAAGACAAGACCCTGACCACAGATATATCGGCCCATGTATGAGCATCTCACATAAATAAACGTTCGTGTAAAGATGAGTGATGAAAACGATGAAGACGAGCTGCTGTAAACATCACAGTGCACAATGCAGATTTCTGTTTGTCACTGTTTATGTGAATAAAGCTTGGATATCCAATGGAATGACCAGGGTTCCAGATCTGTGCAGGAATCCAGTGTGAAGCCTTGGCTTCCTGTAATGAAGACCGCTCACCGCTGCTCTCTCTCCTTGTGCAGGGTGACTGGTCTGGTCTCCCCCCCTCCTGTAGCTTTCTGAAGGAGGTCTATAGGGGTGGGGCCTGCTGGGCCCCTCCCACAGTTCTGCTTTCTCCAGGTAAGCGACACACACCCAACCGTCCTATCAACATTATATAAAAGAAGATGTGGGTCATCAGACCAGGCCACCTTCTTCCTTTGCTGGTGCTTTTGGCTGTGGACACCCTGACCAGTCTGTAGCTATGCAGCCCCATACACAACCATCTGCAATGAACATTTTTTCTCTGCTTTCAACGCATCAACTTCAGGGACAACATGTTCCTTTGCTGCTTAATATATCCCGCTGACTTTCAGATGCCATTGTAATGATATAATCAGTCAGTCACTGAACCTGTCATTGTTCATAAAGCTGCGGATGATTGGTGTCCAGGGTTTAGGTAGTTGACAGATAGAGGGTATACAGCTCAGTATCCTTCAATGTGGGGATATAGGAGTTTTCCATACCCATGGATATTCTCTATAGTCGAGGCGTTTTCCTGCTAGTGTGATATAATTGTCAGCTAATAAATTCTTCCCACATGTAGGGTGGAAACTACATATAAATACTTGGAGATGGAGATTACGATCTATGTGACTTTTCGCTTCTTGTATGCTTAGATATACAGTATGCTGTTATGTATCAACGTACTACACAGGAGACTTCATATTAGTGGGATTCAGTGGAGATGGTTACATAGTTTCATAATTAACAAGGCTGAACAAGAGACAAAATTCAACCTTCCAAGCCCACCAAGCCCAATTTTGCTCTATAAGGTATTAAAGGCAATTATGGACCGCTATAAGCAGGGTTGGACTGACAACTCATGGGGCCCCTGGGCAATAGGGGATCATGGGACCCCCGTGTCCTTGTCCACACTCAAAAAAGCCTATAAAAAAGGTACCAGGGGCATTTCATGGGGCCCCCTACTGACCCGGGCCCTCGGGCAGTGCCTGAGTGCTCGAAGGGTCAGTCCGCCCCTGGCTACAAGTGAAGGGATGGAGGCTTCTCAACCGACCCCAGGAGTCCAATGTCGAGGAATAGTCTCAGCCGCTGTTCTGGCCATGCCCTCTGATGCATTTTGCCATGCCCACGGGGATTGGTCTGTGACACCTGTGGTCGATTGAGCAGCATCCATCCCTTCACTTGTATTGGCTGACACTGGAATCGCTCGGACTCGTGCTCCCCTCTTCTCCATTGCTGATGGGGTGATCCTATTCCTTCCATCCATAGCTTGGAGCGGCGCCATAAGGTACTTTTCAATTTTGGAACACACTGCATGTTACACCCATGTCACAGACACCACCGTGACTTGGGCTCCTGGAGGGACTTGGGGGCCAGCCTCCTTCCCACCAACTATGGACCCAGGACTATGCAGACCCCCCCCCCCTCTTGGGGTTACAAAGAACCTTTTCCCCCCAAGAGGGTTATATCACTTTCTTGGGTGCCTGGCTGGCCGTAAATTATACCAGCTAACCCTTTCCATGCAATTCGGGCCGGGGGGGGGGCCTGATTCTGGGACCCCTTGGCATACTGTGAATAGTGGAACTATTATCCTGGAGCGATGTGTTGTGTGCAGGGGACGAATTCCAGCATATGTGGGGTTAAGAAACTTGATTTTCTGTTCCAGGTTTCCTGGCATCAACTATGTTTTGCTGTAATTAGGTTTAAGTGATAAGCTTACACTTTGTTTAATTGCTTCCAGAGTCTAGACTGCTAGGTGCCGGGAAGGAATTAATTGTTTTATGTGTTTGATTGTTTATCTGTTTATGTAATGTACTTGTAATGTGTGCCATACCTGTGTAGGGGGAAGGGTTTTGTGTATGAATGCTGTGCTGTTTGTTCATAAAGTCAGTCTTTGTTTTACTCCTACTTTGGTTCCATTTGATTCCTGGTAAATGTTACTATATTCTGGTTCAAAAGTGGAGGAAGCTGTAGTTTGGTGGAGATGCCCAGTTGGGGTGTCAGGCAGTCCATCACAACCCGTATTTTGCGCGTAACATGAAGCACGGTCACATACATCACCCCCATAAACTCACCCCAACCCCCAATTTGACACCTAGGGTGCTTCATACTCCTGGTTGTTGCAATTTGAATTCACTCATCCATTCATGGTGATCTGTAAATGGGAAGACTACAAGTCCCATATTGCAGTGCAGTAGAAGGGCTCAGCAGATCACGCTGTCAGCAGGGTGGTGACATGACAGTACTGGTAAGATCATTGATTACCTCTTCCAGCCCCATAATGGAAGGTGCTCTGTACGGACCTGAGGCTGGAGGTAAAGAATACAAGAGCCAGAGCATTACACCCATGATGCGTTGATTGTAGTGGCAATGCTTTGCAGGCTTGAATGCCAAAAAATGTAATAAAGGTACATTTTTAATTAATTGTTGGTGAATTTATTAAATATAAAAGCTGAACTGTGCCTTTAAGATGAGTATTCTGCTTTTGGCACTTCCTTCTTTGCAAACCCAATCCCTACTCAAGCAAAAAGCCAACCTTCAGCCACCACTCCAGGGAGGGCGACCAAAGGAGGATTACTCCCTCTACACCTTACTGAGAACATTGCTTGGGGAGACCCAAAACAGCACACCTTTCTTCTACTTCCTGAGTTTTTTTTATTGCTGTCCATGGCCCTGTTGCAGATTTCCTCTCACTTCCTGTGTGGTGAGGACTTCCTACTGGCAGGACAGTAAGTGAAGGGAAATCTCTCTAATGGAGCCCAGAATGGCAATAAAAGCCCAATAGGATTTCTCAATAGATGTGTATACTTGGAGCAATCACCAACATTAATTATTTAGACCAGCCATACTCATCCCAGGTTTTGTAGAAGAGGATCCTTGGGCTGTGGCTGATGGACTTCCCATCTGATGATGTCTTCATAGTTCTGGGTCCAACACTCCTGTCCTGCTTTAGGAAGTCCTCACCAGGCAGGACTCGAGAGGAAATCTCAGTAATGGAGCCCAGTATGGCAATAAAAACAGGAGTTTTAATTCTTTTCCCACTCTATTCAAAATAATACAAAAAGGTTGGTATTGAGTCTTAGATTTTGGTTAAATACAAGATGAGGCCTGGGCACCTCAGTTGGTCATAACCTGGCCAATGTCCACACTGTTGGGGGTTGTGTGCTAAGGCCACCAATCCCAAAACTTGCAAATTGTGTTTTACCATAATAAAAGTTCTGACTTACCTTCTCGTTTTTAAACCTTTTGGACAATTGAGGTAATTTAACAGCAAGATTGAGAAGGGGGTTCAGAAGGATTGTTTTTTTTTTTTTCTCTGAGATGAGGTCCAGGAACTCCCGCTTTTGAGCCTCCTCTTTCCATCCCTTACCCACCTCTCAGTACCACCCCTTTTAGCAAATACAAAACAAAGTATCCGCTATGTTGCTAAGTAATTTTTTTTGAATTTGTTAATGGTGACAAGATAAAATAGATCCCCTGCAGCAAGCAACAATAGACCCCCCCAACAATAGACCCCCCCCCCCCCAGGAACATTAGACCACCCCAGGCAACAACAGACCCTCCTGCAATATAATAACCCCCCAGAAACTATAGATCCACCCCAGCCACAACAGATCTCCCAGCAGCTTTCCAGGAACCAGCCCCTTCCCTCAACAGTGGATCCCTCCCAGCCACAACTGACTGCCCCAGTATCAATAGATCCCCCAACGCACACTAGCACCCCTTGTCATTACATGCAGGAGGTGCCAGAACTGCATTCCCTCGCATTCCCACCAAAAAAAGCCCTGTGTGTGTGTGTGTGTGTGTGTGTGTGTGTGTGTGTATATATATATATATATATATATATATATATATATATATATATAAAATTATACTTGGTTGATGGAAGGCGATCCCTATAAAACAGATGGTGGCTGTACAAAATGATGATATAGTTCACAGGTTCTTAAGTCAGCATCACTTGTTTTACATGAAAATCCTGCTAATGTAATAATTTAGACATATTTATCAAACCTGGTGACCTTGTCTGCAATCCATGTCACCTATACGACTCAATCCACCCTTACTATAGTGCTATCCCTGCTGTCACCTGATTGTCACTCCTTTGGGTTTGCAGGAACAGAGAATGTTCTGAGAGCGTGTGAGGAGGAAGGTGTCCAATACCTGGTCTATACCAGCAGTATGGAGGTTGTGGGTCCAAATATCCATGGAGATCCATTCTTCAGGTAACCAAGACCCCCCGGAATGATGACAAGGGTTTTGACAGGTTGGATACATATTTTTACAATGTAACAATTTTTCTAGTAATGGACTCCACAACTTTTTATGTGAATTGTCCAATGGGGTGCCAGAACAAAGATTGGCTGTCACAATGGTCACATGATTGGAAAGCCCATCCTTCTGGCTCCTGATCATGACTAGAAACTGTGAGCTGTGAATGACAGCTCGGACATTGTGCAGTGAGCTTGCTTTCAGCACAGAACCCTTGGCCATCCATGAACGCATATGTGTGACATATGGACATTAAGGTCCACTTTCTTTGCTGCTACATATGCATTACATGAGCGGCAAGAGGTTAATGACTAATGTTCATTCACAACAAAACAATGTTAAGCCCCATACACACGGGCCGAATATCAGGCGGTATCAACCGGTTCAATGGAAACCGTCCAACATTCGGCCCATGTGTATAGCACCTGATCCGACAGAAGTGAGACGAACATCTGACTTCTGTCGAAGGGACATGACTGAAAAAGATCTGCTGATTGGCATCCAATCAGTGCTCTCAGCCCGCTGGGTTGAATGAAGAGAAAACTGATAGTGTGTTCCTAGGCTTTCAACAACCAACGCATTTTGAGGGTACAAAAACTCCTTTTCTTCAGGGCTCAAAATTGTATACACTCAGATGGACTCAAATTGGTGCAATCATCAAAAATATATTATTTTGAAGATTAGACATTTTATCATTCAAAATGTTACCCAGGGGAAATTTTGTTTTACTCCTGGATCACCTTCTAAATCCACCTTTCTCCACTTTTTTGCTACAGAGAAAACAAAGTTCAGGTCTCGGGGAGCCAATGATAAAAGCAGTTCATCGCAGGTCTGTGGGAAATATGGCCCTTGTAGTGGTGGTCAGAATTTCACTCTTACAGACAGCTGAAAATCTTTGATGTCCTGCTGCTAGTTTTGCCAATTGGTGTTGGCCCTGGAACTATGAAGGCACCATCAGATGGAAGGTCAATGGCCGCTGGCTCTGCCAATTGGTGTTGACCCTAGAACTATCAAGACATCATCAGATGGGAGGTCAATCAGCCACAGCTCAAGGAATCCCTAGGAACCTCTTGAGGAACCCTAAAGTTCTGCAGAACCTGGGTTGAGAATGGTGGTCTAAATATCTAATTTTGGTGATTGTGCCAAGTATACACATCTATCAAGCCATGAAGAATTGGGAGTCTCTCGTACCCCTAAACATGTTGGACATTTTATATTGCCATGTTGTGGATGAAAATTGTCATTAAAAGCACCTTTTTCATCTGGTGCTCTCATTGGACATTTTACAGGTGAACTGTAAACTTTGGGGCCCTAATTTAGGGGTACACTGTCCAGGTGTGCTGAGAGCAGCTGCACTGGAGGCATTGTGAATCCAATTCACCTTTTTCAATCATTTGCCTTCTATGAGTCGAATTCACAGATCTTGTTTTTTGTTTTTTGGATTCCAGGGGTAACGAGGACATGGAATACAAAGTGTATCACAACCAGGCTTATCCCTTGAGCAAATCCAAAGCTGAGAAGATTGTACTGGAGGCCAATGGAAGGAAGGTGCGTCAATGTCAATGACAATGTCTGTCTTAGGAAGTCAAAGGTTGAACTGGATGGACTTTTGTCTTTTTTCAGCCGGACTAACTATGTAACTATGCAAAGGAGTAGAGTTCTGTGCTTAATGGCAATTTATATTATAGAAAAGTCTGTGGGGTTTTTTCATTTCATTTGTGTTGCTCCTACAGATGAAGGATGGAAGAACACTTTACACTTGCTCCCTGAGGCCCACAGGGATATACGGTGAGGGCCACATGCTAATGAAGGAGTTCTATGAGCAAGGGTTGCGTACAGGACGCCGCGTGTTCAGAATCATCCCCTCCTCCACAGAACACGGCAGAGTTTACGTAGGTGAGAGACAACAGCATGCATAGAAAAGTAGATCTTGCCAGCAATTGTAGTACCAGGGCATCTGGGCACAAGCTTCCTAAGGCATCCTAAATGGCAGTTTACCAAGCTGCAGCTTCTTCTGGGAAGCATGATGGTTTATGGCAGCCTTTCTCAACCCTTCAAGCTCTGAGGAACCCTTGAAATAACGCTTCAGGTCTTGGGGAAACCCCTGCTACAAGGTATATCTCCAGCTCCCAGTACAATAGTTAGATCAAAAAGTTACACGTGATCAGTAAGAGGAAGAATGCCCATCACATTGGTGGACAGTGAAAAGAATGCACCATCTCATTATGGGTGGGTGGGAGAAGGACTTCCTTAAGGCCTGTGAGAGACGTGAATCCTTATATCTGTGCACGGTGAGAGAAATGCTAAAATGATTGTTGGCCTCATGCCGTTTGCTTTGCTAAGTGATGATGGCCCTGGAACTATGCCGGCACCATCAGCCACAGCTCAAGAAACCCCAAGCAACCTCTGGAGGAACCCTAGGGTTCCACACAACCCAGCTTGAGAATGGCTTTTTTTATGGTACCCATGGCCCACCAGTTTTTTTCTCTTTTATTTTTGCAGCTCCTTATTTTAACCACTTGCCTACCGGGTACATTTCTCAAAAATGATGTTACCCTGAATAAACAGATACCTAACATGTCACGCTTTAACATTCATGGAATGGCTCCAAACTATGGTACCTAAAAATCTCCATAGGTGACATTCTAATCATTTTTAGATTTTACCAGTTTAGAGTCACAGAGGAGGTCTAGTGCTAGAATTTTTGCTCTCTCTATAATGTTCTCGGGGAAACCTCACATGTGCTGCAAACACCGTATACATATGCTGGCATGACCTAGGTATGCGCTCACTTCAACACATGAGCATGGGGGGGTGGGGGCACCTTCAATTTTTTTATTTATTTATCTTGTTTTCTTCTTTTTTATATTTACACTGCCTCTTTAGTTTTTTTTAAATTACTTCTTATTCCTATCACAAGAAAAGTGAACATCGCTTGTGATAGAAATAAGGCATGACAGGTCTCTTTATGGGGACATCTGGGGTCATTAAGACCCCACATCTCTCCTCTATCCTGGAAAGCATGAAATCAATTAAAAAAAAAAAAAAAAAAAAATGATCTCTGCTTTCCAGAAAAAACATAAATTGTCAGTGCTTACATCAACCAGAACTGGAAGTGATGTCATGACGTTATTTATGACCTCCCAAGACCATAGAGATGGCTGGGGACCATCTGGTCCACGATCAGCTCTATGGCAACCAGGTGGCACCACCAGATCGGATACTGGGCTCCCTGATTACACAAGAGGGCTCAGAGAGGAGCCTGGTGGGCAGTGGGGGAGGTGGGGACGTCCCTTCCCATTGCCTGTAAAAGCAATCCAGCAGCTAATCCGCCACTAGGATGGCTTTTACAAGGCAGAAAAAAGATAATGATGCCTCTCGTTATAAGAGATGAAAGGACGTCCACAGATGTCCATTCATCGGGAAGTGGCAATGTTGCTTTTAAAAATGAGATCAGAGATTGTATAGAAATGTGTAATGTTGTTGTCCTCCTCTTCTCCAGGTAACGTGGCATGGATGCACGTCCTCGCTGCCCGCCAGCTGCAGGAGCAGCCATCCAACTTGGGTGGTCAAGTCTACTTCTGCTACGATGACTCTCCTTACAAGAGCTACATGGATTTCAACATGGAGTTCCTGACCTCCTGTGGCTTCCGCATGATCGGTAGCCGCCCGCTGGTCCCTTACTTTGTGCTTTACATGATTGCCCTCCTTAACGTCCTCCTGCAATGGCTCCTACACCCGTTTTGCATCTATGCTCCTATCCTCAACCCATACACCCTGGCCGTGGCTAGCACCACCTTCACTGTGCAGACCGACAAGGCAGAGCGGCACTTTGGCTACCGGCCTCTCTTCAGCTGGGAGGAGAGCAAGCAGCACACCATAGCCTGGGTGAAGGGCTTTGAGCGGGACAGAAAAGATCAATGATGATCAGAACGCCTAAAGGGAATATAGACTTTGATTTCCAACATGGAAAGGATTAGGAAGCTTTAAGATGGTTGTGAGGGAAAATGAAACGAGACATTCCAGATTCAACTTTATCCGAAATTCATTCCGTTACATCACAACACTATCACCTGAGCAGACCACAATGTCCACTTCCACATTCCTCGCTATGAAGTCTACAAATAGGATCTTTTTAAGTTCTAGGCAACCTACCACTGAGTGAAGCCAGGTGGAAATCACATTTTCTTCGTAACTATTATGCTGCCATTGACAGTTTAATAATCAATACCCTTCTATCCTGGCCCCAACCCATATCACACCCGTCTGCAACCTTTCCGCCATTTACCATGTGAGGCCAACAAATGCACTCGGCAGGTTTTGGAAGGTGTGCGTTTTAGAAAGGGACAGGTAGGCGGACCCGTGGCAAATGTCGGGCAACTAGGGCAGCACAGTGGCTAAATGGTTAGCACTTCCGCCTGGCAGTACTAGGTGCGGGGGTCTGGTTCAAATCCCAACCATGGCACCACCTGCCTGGAGTTTGCATGTTCTCCCTGTGCCTGCATGGGTTTCCCATTGCGGAGATTTGGAGATATTCCTTCATATCTTGTCCTATAGCTACAACAAGAAGTGAGAGGAAATCCTCCAAAGTGAAGGGAATCCCTGGTTGTCACCAGAACTAGCGTCTTCATTGGAAGGTTTTCCCCCTCTTTTCATGTTCTGGGGACAACCCAAAAATTGTGATTTTCTTTCCCTTTCAGGATGATGGTAAATAGGAGAAATAGAGGGGGGGGGGGGGGGGCACTAACGGCAATAAAAACCTGGCAAGGGTTCTGGTTGCGGAGATTTTGGAGATTTCCCTTCATATCTTGTCCTATAGCTACAACAGGAAGTGAGAGGAAATCCCTACAAAGTAAGGGAATCCCTGGTTGTCACCAGAACTAGCGTCTTCATTGGAAGGTTCCCCCTCTTTTCATGTTCTGGGGACAACCCAAAATTTGTGATGATTTTCTTTCACTTTCAGGATGATGGTAAATAGGACAAATAGAGGGGGGGGGGGGCACTCACAGCAATAAAAACCTGACAGGGGTTCTAGTTTCTGGGTTCAGGTTTCTGGTTGCGGATATTTGGAGATTTCCCTTCATTTCTTGTCCTATAGCTACAACAGGAAGAGGAAATCTCTCCAAAGTGAGGGAATCCCTGGTTGTCACCAGAACTAGTGTATTCATTGTAAGGTTTCCCCTTCTGTTCTGGGGACAACCCAAAATTTGGGATTTTCTTTCACTTTCAGGATGATGGTAAATAGGAGAAATCGAGGAGGGCACCGACAGCAATAAAAACCTGGCAAGGGTTCTAATCCTTCTCCATTCTATCCAAAAATAATTTTCAAAAAAGTTTCACCTTCAGTTATACTTTAATAGCTAACATTTAGTTGCCCGGCTGTCCTGGTAATCCGCTATCTTCAATATGAACCCAAAGAAATATATTGATCAGAAGGGTCCAAAAAAAGGTCGGGGGTCATTATCTGTCAACCTCTTCCTGGTCAGGGGCTTTCTGAAGCAATGGGATCAGCATGACAGCCAGGCAACTGGGCTTCGTATGGTGAAGTCAGCGATGGCGTGCCTCCATGTTTACTCTTCACAGGTTTACTTCAAGGACAGGTGATTGGCTCCACGGTCGAGTCTTCTCACATTGCTCTTCTCATTCTGCTGCTATGGACTTTTCCGGGAAGTGTTCAGCATTTTAGTATGAATGTGTTAAACTTTTATTTTTACATTCTGTGAATCAAGTTCTGCCGCCTAAATAATTCCAGAAATCTATGTGACAATATTGCCATGTAGTGCCGTCTTTTTGGCCTTTAGGTGCAGCGTCTAGGTGTGTTTATACAGCGCCACCTACAGGCCAAACATGGCAAATTGGTTCAAATTTATGACAGATCATCGATAGGCTGCATCTATTATTACACATTAAGTTTTATCAACATATGGAGGATATGACAGACTATAAAGAGAGGTAAAAAATAAAGCTACATTTTATTTATTCTCTATAGCAGAAAATCACTGGCCTTTAGTACATTGGAACCATAAAAAGAAAGGATAATAAGGGAAATGAATAAATACATTGTATCTGTTTCCATTTTACCACTTCATAGGCTTGAAGAATTGTTATGCCGAAATATTTAATCTGTTGTGTAGTTACTATATGTATCTTTATATTATTGAATATTTATTGTGATTTATTTAATTAACTCTTTCTCATGTGCAATATGTAAAGGGACAGCAGGCCGCTGAATGACATGCCAGTTCATTGTTGTTCTGCAGTGTTTATTACCTTTTTAAATACCCAATCAGTGCAGATTCAAAAAACTTCCAGTGTTTCCTGTCATTCAAGGGCTATATTAACAGCAATATTAGGTATTTAAAAAAATATCTCTGCCACACCCTCAGACACATGTCTGACGTTTGTGTGATGCTTAAAGGTTATCTTAAAAAAAAAAAAAAAAAAGTTTGGACTGGACATGTCCTTTAAGCACCTCCCACTGATTGAACCTTTCAGCTAGTGTGCAGTGGATAGTGTGAATTCAGTATAAAAAAGCATTATGGATAGCAGGCCACTGAATGACAGGCCGTGCGCAGTTCATTGATGTTCTGCCGTGTTTATCACCTTTTGCCTTTTTAAAAACCCAATCAGTGCAGATTCAAAAACTTCCAGCATTTCATGTCTTTCAAGGGCCATATTAACAGCAATATTAGGTATTTAAAAAAATATCTGTGTTCTCACTGTCACACCCCCAGACACATGTCTGACGTTTGTGTGATGCTTAAAGGTTATCTTAAAAAAGTTTGGACTGGACATGTCCTTTAAGCACCTCCCACTGATTGAACCTTTCAGCTAGTGTGTAGTGGATAGTGTGAATTCAGTATCAAAAAGCATTATGGATTCAGTTTAAAAA